GTTTGTGGGGTGGGGGCAACAACAGCACACCACCTCATCCCGCCCTTTGTGGCCTGCTGCTGTAAACATCCACATGGAAGATGCTCAGCACTCTTTTGTACAATATGGAAGCAATGCAATGTGCACTTTCTGACTCTTCCATTCTCCCATATACATTCTTAGAAAAGCAGCCCTGTATCCTTAAGGAAACAAATCTCCAAACAGATCCTTCATCTCTCAAAAAAATACTTCATCATTGCTTTCAGCATAGGTATTGATCCCTTCTAGCAAAGGTAACCGGTATCCACAGTACATAGCATGGATGATGTTAGCAGCAAACACTGGTTTCACTTAAAACAGTTTGGTTTCACTTAAAACAGTTACAAACTCTTACATTAGACAGAACTTCTTTGCAGTTAGCTTTCCTCAGGGCCCATTATTTTAGCAGCTGGGTTTTCCTGCCTTCATTTGTAACTTTATTAGTAAGTAAGGCGCTGTAATCTGTGCTTCATAATCATATTAAAATATATCACTTTCTCGAGAGTCCCTTACAATGAACAAAGAAGGCTGTAAGCTTAACATCTTGTGCAATGCTTTGTCCAGTGAAGAGCTGTTCCCATTAGGGGAACAAAGGAAAACAAATCATACACAAGACTATCTCAGCTACAGGAGAACTGTAGCAAATTACTGCTCTTAGGAGAGGGTATTAGACTTACCCTATTTGAAAATGAGTAGTACTACATCTAGCTTTTAAAAATATTGTAGGATCAAGCAAGTTTTTTCCTGTTACTCTTGTCTCTATAATAGCTAGCCATCAACTGGAATCATGTGGGGGAAGCTTTTTTTTGCCCCCATCCAGTCTAAGCTAAGATCATATGATAGTAATCCTTCAAGTTGTAAAGGTGCACTATCTCTAGAAAGAAAACTAGCATTTTTATTTGTTTTTTTAGTTTGAGGGAGTGGCAAGAAATCTGGCAAGCAGGCCTTATGGCTTCATTTCTTATGGCCTACAGTCACATAATTGTTAGTTTATGTTAAAAAAAAAAATAATATTAGTGTTAATTTTTGGGCTGCTAAAGAAAGCTCTAGGTAAAGAGAAGACCTGCACTGCTGTTTCAGAGAGTTGGATTATTTTTTTATCATGTTGCTCAGAGATTATATAGTCAATGGTTTGGGTTAGCTAGGTGGAGAGTGAAATAGAAATATTTCTGTGGAATAGCAGTGCAAACTTACAAATGCAGATATCATCCCTTAACATCTCAGCTACAATTGGAAAGTTTGAGGAAAGCAGTCTAGCTTACCTGCTTCTGTAGTTCGTCCAGAGTGGTTCAAGTGACACACTAAGCCATGCATAAATCCCCTAAGAACCAAATATTTCGGAGCAAGGTGAGGAAGCTTTTTAGCTTGGTCATCCTTCACTCACACCTGCTTCTTCTAATGAAAATCAAGTTGTTACACCTGTCCATTTGCCTACTGGGAATTCCTGCTCATCTGGATTGGGAGGGACATTTGGAAGTGGTTGTCAACCTGCTTTTCCCCTTCAATTCCATAGCTTGTTAATGAATTATAATTATTCTTACACTGCATCCTACATATATTTCCAGCACAGCAACTGGAAGAGGAAAGAGAAATCAGAGATATAAACCCACCACAGTTATGCAGCATCTGTTTCTGTAATCATCACAGCAGCAGGACCAAAGTCAACGCAGTCCTGCTTGACTCTGTTGGGAACCAGCACAGCAGCTCCAGAATTGTTGGTGTAAACACCTTCCTCTAGCATGACATCAGACCAGGGATAAACTTGAGAGCCATCTTTCTCACTTTATGATATAGGACCAATTCTTCCATTGCCAGTTTTATAGTGGGATGCAGGCTACTCTGAGTTCAAAACAGATTTGCTAACAATGGTTGGATGCTGTGTGGCTAAGTGTAACGGAGCACTAGGAATAAACCAGCAGACTAAACAAGATGTAGAAGCTTATCCACAATACACGGCTATTAAGCATTCAAGTACTTCTTTCTGTTGCAGCTTCATCGCTTGCTGCTAGGAAACAGCACTATTAATTTCTTCAAACTGCGGGTGATGAATAATCTACCATGAAAATGGGAGAAATTCCTTGGTCCTTCCATAATCAACTAATTGGAAAAAAAACTCGCAGGCTGGAATAAATGAGCAAATATTTCTTTGTCAAGCTGGCAGGAAAATATACAAAATGAGGAATTCCTCCCCCATGACTGACTGCAAAACACCTAGCTTTCTCACAGAAGGCTCTGCTGAAACTGATTTTTCTCTGCTGCGGTGCCTGTTGTTTCCACTGGGGAAGTCTGTTGCTCTGCATCAGTGTAAGATGGCTTGACGTCTATATATTTTGATGTAACAGCAAGAAAGGCATTTTGGCCTTGTAATCAAAGGATCCTAGCTTTTCTTTTTGCTAGCGTCTCTGGACTGTTGTTTTCCTAATTTTCTTCACAGTCTAGCCCAACTCCTTCAGACTCCCTTCAGCTTCAATGGGAGTTAATTGAGAATGGAAATAATTTAATTGTTCAATCAAATAACAACTGACTGTTCTCAAGTGTTCTGCATGTGCTTAAGTGATTTGTAAGATCATGCTCCATAGTTTAAAACATATGAAAATAACCTTTGAACAGAGTCAGACTCAAGTTATTATATGTGGAAACTAATAAATGGAACCAGGCCCCTGGCTCGTTGAATTGGTTTCTTGGCTCTTCTGTCTCTAGCTACCCTGTTTCCACTTGCCCTGTTTTTTTTTTTTTTAGATCTCCCCATGAGGTTTGCAGAAGCAGCTGTATCAATACTCGCTTATTGAAAAAATGTTTTGCAAGGAGCTAGCTCAGGTGTTTTTGCATCCATGACATAGCGGATTTGTAACTGAATGAGCTGCCATGAATAACAGAGGAGGTGGCTCCATATGAGCTGATACCGCTTGTTCATTCCTGTGGGAAATAAGTTTATCTTTTGGGCATGTCTTCAGTAGGAGTCCATGGAAAAAGGCCATAAAATAGATGATTTTCCAATAGAAAAACACTTCCTCTTCTGAAATTATTTAACCTCAGGGCAGAAGAAACAGGGAATGCTGACTATGCTCTGATGATTGAATGAAGATGAGGAAGAAGACTATAACTGAAATATTTGTTGCGAAGAATCAAGGAATTGTGGGGTTTTCTTTAAGAACATTCTACATTAGCAGATGAAATCAGTGTTAGAAAACCCAAATGTCTAAATACAGTGATACAACTTCCAGGGATTCCTTAACAACAGCTGTTGCCCAAAAGTGTTTTCTGTCAAAGTAATTCTCTTCTGTGGTGCCAAAGCTGCTAAAGTTCGGGTAGAAAACTGAACTTAGAGTAACACTCTAGGTGATAAGACAATTTAGAGGACAAAGATGATGAAGAAATTGACCTGCATTTTGGAACATTTTAAAATGAATGTTAGTATAAGTATCGTGTTAGTCCTGATAGAATAGTGTTACCGTCCTGTGCTCAGTTTTATCTTGATGCTGGAACATGACTTATATTCACCAAACATCTGAAATCTGATGTTTTATGCCTTTATTTGGGTGAAGGTAGGGAATAGAGAATTTGTATGGGGCAGAGACAGAATTACAGAGGCAGATTTCGGGCTTTCAGCTCTGTTTCCCCTAGAGGTTCAGTCTGTATGGATTTGGTAAAGGCTCTATTGAGAAACAGTAATCTTAAACAATGAAACAGGCCAACACTTTCTTCAGATTCGTGTCTTGTGTTGTTTCACAATGTCAGTGCCCAGTACCTGGTTTCTCTTTACTTCAAACTCAACATGTAGTAAAGCAGTGATGAATTTCTGTGTTACTGACAGTCTTGCCACTGTAGCCTTCCATATTACACAGCTTGTCTTGGAGGAAGGACCATAAAACTCATGTCTTGTCATAAAGACAAAAAGACTTGCTTTCATGAATGTTGCAGTGCTGGTTATGCAATACTGTTTCTCACTGAGCATACGCAAATACTTGCATCAATTGCTTGCTTTCAGCAACATCCTTAGTCTACCTTAGTGGTTTACATTAGTGGCTTACAAATACTAGTATAGACTTAAATGTTGTACAGCAACAATGTGACTTTGATATCTTTATGGCTGTGCTGCTTCTGTTAACTGGTGTAAGCTGCAAACAAAAAACACCCAAAGATCTTTTGCAATTTCTTCACCCAAGAGGGAAAGCCTCTTGGGCATGGAGCAGCAGAAAATGTCAAACCAGCTGTAAGCTGTAACATAATCCAAATATCTTGCATTCTGCCAGGTAAATTGGTCCTAGATACTTACAGCTTCTCATAACTTCTTATGGCCTGCTGGTCTTTTTATACAACTACAATAAATGTCTGCCTATAAAGGAGAACGTGTAATTTTTGAGGAACAGCTTCAAAAGGATTTTGTTGTATACACACCAACTTTGCTGCATTAACAAACTTCAGTTCTTCCCCGTACAGTATAGATTCTTGTAAGGTAGTATCAAAGAAGAAATCAAATTATAAAGCTTGAAAGGGATTGGGAGATCTGAGCCTAAAAGCTTAAGAATTGGAATCAGTAGAGGTTTCTTCAATGTACTGATTACTTTTAAAACAGGTATAAGTATTTGTCGGTTAACCCTCACTGATGTTATGTTCTTTTTATTTTAAGGCCCACCAGCAGAGCAGAAAGGCAGATCGTTTGTTGGCAGCAGGGAAATATGAAGAAGCAATTTCTTGTCACAGAAAAGCTGCTGGTGAGTAGATATTTCTCACATTCCAGCTCTTAAAATCAATTTGTAGATTTGCATGCTTCATGTAAGTAGAATATTTAGTTACTTGCAGAATTTTTATTCTTAAAATGTGAATTCGTTTTTCAGTCCAGATCAAGCAACCCTTTGGAAACATTTTTTCCTCATATAAGCAGCTAAAGTCAGACCTTTCTTTCCAAAGTTGTTTTGATTGGGGGTGGTTATCACTCTGAAGGCAGTTCTTGACTGAAGATGAAGACAACACCTTGTGTCATGCACAAACTGCAGCTGGGAACCTGCTGTAAGGCAGTTTCACTTTACGCTTTGTATTTTCTTCACTGCTTTTATAGCTGAGGTCACCTGCTTTTTCTGTTGGTAAAGGAAACACTTAGACAAATGTTTGCTTACAAAAGTTTACTTGCTTCCCTTTCCTATAGTCTGAATCAAGACAGCTAAGAACAGGTGATGAGCTCAGCTTTTCCAGAACTCAAGTGAAACAGAGATTGCACTGTAGGCCTAGACGCTGCAACTGACAGCTTCTTCTAAGTGAGCCTTTGTGCATTTACCTGTCCATTTAACTACTCACGCTTAATTATTTGTGTTGGAGTCCATCAGCCATCTGACAGTGCTGCAACTGCTTGGCAAAAGAAGAAAGAGGAGGTCTTAATTGGTGCAACAAGTAGGACATTTCCAGTGACAGAGCTTGTGCGGAGACAAAATAAGTGGCTACTCTGAACATTGTAACCTAGATACCAGGCGTGCTCACTTCCCATTCATAAATACTAGAAAACACCATAAAATGAGAAAGTGATAGTTTTTTTCATATTTATGAATACTCAGAGCAATGAGGGGATAGCACTTACGTTTTAATATGTGGACTTTTCTTTTTTGTTTCCTTCACTTCATATATCAAGACAAAACCCAGAAATGCATTGAATGTTTATTGCTTTTTTTCATCTGATGATTCTATGCCATTATCTGACATCCTTCCAAATTTGGTCAAGAATTTCTAATATCTTGTCATTTTCAGCACTAGCAAGATGGGCTTAAAGTCTGAAGTGCTACTCTAACTGTAAGCCAGCACCTTTTCTGGTTTGGAGGGGAAGTTGAAAAAAGTGGGGAACTACAGACTATACCTCTTCATCAAGAATATAACTAAAAGGCATTACTTCATAATACTAGTGTGCCATGGATGAGACGATTTTACTTACCACATTTTGTCTTAAAATGCCTGTATGTTAAAAGCCTGGTCCTTAGCTGTGTTTCTTCCCTTCATGGGAAAGTTGTTCTTCTGGGACTTTCTGGAAATGGCTGCTGTCCTCTGAAAAACAAATCGGAACAACCTGAGCCAACAGGATGCCATGGGAAGGGTGTAGCATATATTAGACGATCTTACAGTAATTTTCTCAGACTTCTGAAAAACAGCAGGTGTTTCCAGCCACCGTAACTTGGTAAATATTTTGCCTCTGGACTGCTGCTTTTATGTGGGGATTCAGAACACAGAAGGTCTGAAATCTTTTCTTAACTTTTATGGAAATGTTAAGGTTTTGTAACCTTGTCCTAAATGTTTATCAATTTTCTCTTCTGCAGCATACCTTACAGATGCTATGAAGCTGACCCAGTCGGAGCAGGTGAGACCAAAGTGCAGCAGGCGCTAGGATCTGCCATAGCTCTGTTGTGCGCCTGTGTGTCATATAGTGGCCCTGATCATACCCCTCCTAGGCATTAGCCTACCCATAGTTTTCTGAACCCATGGCAACTGCACCAGGTGTTTTACAAATGCAGTGATGCTAGTCTTCCTTGAGAGTCTTTCCAAGTTTACGTGGAGCAGGGACAAGAAAACTACTAACTCATAGAAGGATTCTCCAACAATGGTTTCTAGTCTGCAAGGCATCTTCAAGTAGGTGATAAAACTAGTTTCATCTTTAACTTTTGCTGTGAGGCACTTAGGCTGTTTTGCTGAGACGCAAAGCTGAGCATTTCATTTACAGTCTGTAATTTTGGTTTTAGTCATCCTGACTGGGGGATCTCCAGAACAACCACCTTTCCTTATTCATTGCACAAATCTATCTCTCAATGCAGTAGTGTAGTCTGCTCAGCACTTTTACAGCACCAGGCTTTGAGTGTAAACAGTATTATCAAAGAAAATAACCCTTGGAGACCGGACATCCGTCTTTCCTCCAAAGGGTCATTCTTGTAGAAAAATGGTAGCCTCCTACCCGGGTTGTTCCTGTGAGTTATTAACCACCATGCCACCCCCTACATTAAATATGGCCGAATCATTTGGAGCCATATCTGGCCTTGGAGCACTTCTCTGCTTAGTGTTGGGTGTCATTAATATGTCTATGCAGATGCCATCACAGAACCATACAAACAGTTTTTATGAGTTAGCTAAAGTGTGGCTATGCAGGCCAAGTGAATCTCTTCCTTCTTGGTGTTGGTCATAGTTCAGTTGAACTCCTAATGCCTCCACTCAGAGGTATTATCATAGCCTGGTCAGTGACAAACAAACCAAAAAGACCAAATGTTAACTCACTCCTTCACGATCTTAGTAGTTATGCTAAATTTGGGTGACGTATCGGAATCTGTTGCCTCGTAGAAGCAGAGATCACTTCTTGTTGGATTTAGTCTCTGAATAACAAAAGCTCCTCCTCCTCCCTCAGGCATGCTGTGGTGCTGTTTATGTAAATATTTACTTGCATGTAACTTTACTTGTGTGAATATTCAGGTGGGATTCGGGATCACCAATTAAATTGTTTAATCTTTTTCTTACTCAGGCTCAGCTGTCACTGGAATTACAAAGGGATAGTCACATGAAACAGTTACTGCTCATCCAGGAGAGGTGGAAAAGGGCAAAGAGGGAGGAAAAACTGAAAGCCCAGCAGAATGCTGACAAGGAAATAGCCGCACATCTTCAGACTTCTTATAAGCCATCTGCTGAAGACTCTGATGATCAAAACGTATTGGTTCCTGTTACTCAGAAATACAGCCCTTCCACAGAGAAACATCCGCAGGATATTCAGGGAGTCTTTGACAGGGACCCGGATACACTATTATTTCTGCTTCAGAAAAAAAAGGAGCCGGTCGAAGCATGTATTGGGAGTAAAGCTCCAAAAGATGACAAAACAATAATAGAAGAGCAGGCAACCAAAATCGCAGATTTGAAACGGCACATAGAATTTCTTGTAGCAGAAAATGAGAGATTAAGGAGAGAGAATAAGCAGTTAAAAGCAGAAAGAGCTAGACTCCAAAAATCTCCAGTAGACAAGGAGTTGGATGTAGATGCCGACTTCGTCGAGAAGTCAGAGTTGTGGGGTCTGCAGCAACACTCAGAAGCTACTTCTTCAGCTGCAACTTGGCAGAAGTTTGCAACAACTGCTGGGAAGGCAAAGGACATTCCAATACCCAACCTTCCACCCCTGGACATCCCGTCCCCTGAACTCCCTCTGCTGGAATTTTCGGAAGATATACTGAAAGGACTGATGAATAGTTAAAAACCAGGAAAAGTGCTCAATGTAGTTACTCAAACTTAAGAAAAGGGAAAACCACCAGGACAATGGTGATCTGAGGGCAGAAACATCTAACACAATCCTACTGTTGGAGAAAAGGCATTAAAGCAACCTTGTTACTGTGAAACACACACACCATATCTGATCTACTTCATAGAAGTCAAAGGTACCATAATGGGTATAAGATGGCGAGCTCTTTAGTCTTTCTCCCAATGTTTCAAACCAAATGACTGCCTGGAGAATGTTTCAAGTAACACAATCCTTCAGGGTTTAAAAGTATGCTATAGGTAATAGTTATCTATAATGCCATAAATGATGGTGCAGAACCTAACTGTTATGGTTGCCAGTTGGCTACCACTTCATATTGAAAAATGCTTTCTAGCATGAATTTAAACTGTGCATTTCATTATGCATAACTTTGTTAATTCAGATACAGTGCAATTTATACACCTCCTAGATGGATTTATGTGCCACGCTCTATGACTCCTGACCATGTTAACCTCAAGTCAGGAGCGATTTTAATTTCCATTCTATGAAGGAACCAACTTATTAGTTCTGTTGACGAGTTTTTTTTGGGTTATCTGTTTACATAACTAATCAGGGTGCATCGAATCTAGCTATTGGTTTCTGTATAAAGTGACATTGTTTAAAAAAGAAAAATCTATACTTAAAGAAAAATACCCTTTTTGTTTTCAGTGATGCATGAATGGAAGTAATTCTAGTTGGCAGTATTTGATTGAAAAAGAAATTGTTTACAGCTTAACCTGATTCAAAAAGGATATGAAAATAAAAGCAAGGTGTTTTGACACTAAACGTGTGTTAAATCTCTACAAATGTTGCAGAGTATTAAAAAGAAAAAAACAAACAAACCACAAATTAAGATTTATACTAACAGTGTTAGTACACGTGTATGGCTGAACTTCTGTGTTCATCGTCCAGCAAATATGGGAAAGCTGGGATGAATTCGGAGGGCCTTGCCTGTATGTGAAGTGACTTGGCTAATAGCTGCCTTCTAACGCCTACAGAGCACTGAAGTGTCAGAGGAAGCAGCACGCTGGTTTTGCTCAGGGACAGGTGACCTGGCGCTGAACGAACATTGCCGTGAGAGCTACACACACTCGTTCAGGGTTTTGGTTTCTGAGGGGAGAGTGCAGCCCCTGCACTGGTGTTACCTGAGCCCAGGCTTTCCCGAGGAGGGGTGGTGCGATGTGGAGTGGAGGCATTAATTAACTTCAGCTGTTACTGATTAACAAAAAGCATTAAGTGTTGCAAGCTACCCCATTTTAAGTTATTCTTGTGCTGTTGCAAGGTAAGCTTGCTGTCTAAGGGTACATTTTTCTTCCAGAATAGATTTGGAAGTGCAGCAAGAACGCCTTACTGCTGTGCAAATTCTCCCCTTACCTCTGTATACCTGCTGTCTGCTATGCTTACTTGAAGGCGAGTAGGGACTGGAGGCTAGGAAAAGCCTACGGAAACAAAGGTAAGATAAGTTCGTTAGAGGAGGTCCCTTGTGCTGAACTGTAGCAGGGAACTAATCTTGCTGGGGGGAAAAGTTATTTTTCAGTTGGAGCAGTTTTAGCCATTTTTAGCCTGGCTACCTCTGCTGAAGAGTCAGCATTCTTTGAGGAGGGGGCTAGGGGAATTGCAAGCTCTGCCTTCTGTTTTTAAGACTAAACTGTCCCTTCATATAGAGCTGCATAAACAAAGCACCAGATCCACAGGAAGCAGGGGCAAAACTCCACACTGCTACTTTTGAAAGTGTTATTAAAACTTTTCTCCCTCCTGCAATGCAAATGTTTGTTTGTTCTTGCAGTCTGCCTACTCAACACATGACTGCTGCTGAAACCAAACTCCAGGCAGTGTGGCTTAGCACGAGTTTTCCACTCCCGTGAGCGATGCAGAAAGGAGACTGGGTGCAACGTTCCTTTAATAGGAGAGGAGCTCCGAGCTGCAGTACAAGCACCGCTAGCGTTACACAAGCCCCATGAAGGTGATGTGGAAAGCTGAGTATTTCTGTGTGATACAGAGACTCTCCTAGAGCCAGAGCAGGTGATACCAGTAAAGAGTCAGACCATGGCCTAGTGAACAGCACAGGGGCTCCTGCAGAAAGGAGGGCCCGAGCGCTGCCAGCGTCTTCTTTCCGTCCCTTCCACGCTGCAGCGCTGTCGGCCGTGACGCCTACAGAAAGACAGGCGTGTGGGAGCAGGTAGGATCACCCCTTTAGCAGCACGGGATGTTTGTAGAACATCCTACACCTGAGAATCCATTCAATAATGACTTTTCCTTATAAAATTCTTTACATTCCAGGGAAAAGGCTAAGCGTATGAAATAAGATAAAATATTTTAATTTTTCCAAGTAAGGAATTCTGTCTGAATTCTGAGTTTAGCAATCCCACAGTTCATTTAAAGAATGAAAGGTTGTATAGAGGAATACTCACCACTAGAGGACAAGTTTTATAGATATATAGTGATAATTCTGAGGAAATTCTTCACTAATGTGTGTCAGCAATTAGTTTATGCCCCAACAATTTAAAACTGTTTTAAATTAGGATTGCCTTTCAGCTTGTTTGAGTTCCGCCATCATGAAGTGACAAAACCGCCCGGCTTTCCTTCCCTGCACCTCTGGGTTAGTTGGCGTTATTGTTCACGCTCCTTTTCCGCGCTCCCTTCGTCGTCCGTCGCCCCCGCCCCCGGCCGGGGGGGACCCTACTCTCCCCTCCCCGGGTAGCCGCTTTCCGCGCGTTCGGTCGCCGCTTTCGGAACGTTTGGTTGCCACCGAACGCCACCTGGTGGTCGTGCTCGGCCAAAACGCGGAGCCCCGCTTTCCTCTGACGATGTCTTCTTCTTGCCCACTGCCGCACGACCTGGCTGGTTCCCCAGGCTTTCCAAAAATAAGGAAAAGGCGCTGTATGTCAATACTATGCAGAAAGTAAGCGATTTTGCGGCAACAACAACGTGGTAAGTTATCGGTGGTGACAGAGCGTGTAACCAAAGCCTGGCACAGTATGCGGAAAGATTCCCACAGGCGGTGGGTGAGTCTGATCTGTATTGTTTGATACTGGACAGAACTAAAAACTTCTGTGGTCCATTATTTTGAAGTGTCTCACCAAGAAACAATTTTAAACATGTGTCCAGACGCTGACTTCTATTCATAGACTTTGCTTTACCACAGAAACCACTCTTCTTGGAACACAGAAATATTATCCTGGTTGAATATAGCGAACATATGCTTTGCAAAAAGAAATTGTGATTACCCAAATCTCTGGCTGTTTCTCCAGAGAAGGAGAAACCAAAGAAAGGTAGCTGAGAAGCAACATGGAGTCTCCCGAGAATAAAATCTGCAGGCTGTACCACCAGTTGCTACTTGCGATGACAGCTAAAACCAAAATATTGAAGCCTTGGGTTATACATTTTGGTTTCATATAAAGGGAAAAGAGGATCTTGTGACCTCCTTCTCCTTAGAGAAGGAATTTCTATTTTCAGGAGCCTTGGCCTTGAGCTCTTTCCCACTCTCCTGTCAGCAGCAGCTCTTCAGCCATCTGCAATTCCTGTTGGCCTGCACTCAGTGATGGGGACTGCACCTCCTCTAGGCTGCCTTTCCCACAAAAGGTTGGACCAGATGATCGTTTGAGGTCCCTTCCAACCTGGGCTGTTCTGTGGTTCCTCGAAAGCAGGCTCGCTAGCAAAATGGATGGAGAAAAGCAAGTTACAGCCACGACAGCTGATAAAAATCCCTTACTGAATTTGACCAAAAATACAGTAGAAAACAAAATCAGCCAAACTGTTCAAAAGTAATCAGCGTGGTAGCGTGGCTGCCACAAACCAGGTACAGGCTGGACAGAATTTGCCAGGCCTTTCTGCCTGAGGATGAGGCCCGTAGAGTTCAACTGGATAAAAAGAAGTTCATTGCTCCCTACCGACTCAGAGCTGTGGCCATCTTTTCCTCCACCTCCTTTCTCTCCCATGTTTGTTTTGCCAGAAGTAACCGAAACTTACCCAGGCTTCTTGTCTTGCAATCATTTGAAGTGTTCCCTTCGGCCCATTTGCTGCAGGAGTTAAGGTATTACTGAGATCAAACAATGTGAAATCCTTAGAGCTGTGAAAATACAGGATTTCCTGCCTCAGAGCTACTAAACCCTACTCTTTAATTCCACTAAGGAAGCAGAGCGCTACGGTAAAACCACATGCCCAGGGACTGGAAAAAGAAACAGGCATCTGTGTCAAGAATATTGTTGGTATGGTTGGAAGGTACCAGAAATGTTCACTGTGAAACACAACAGTAAAAATCTTTCAGTCTACCACTTAGCTTTAGAAAGGGCTGTGTTTAAAACGCAACTGTTTGCACACAACGCATCAGGTAAAACATCTTCAGTTTGCTGTGAGGCAAGATTTTCCTAGTAGCTATATATAGACCATAACTTCCTTTTCAAAACCTACGAGAACAAATGCAGAAAGTGCAGAGGTTAGTTTGCGTGCGTGGCTGACGCCACACATCATTTTCTTCTCGGTCAGAGTTTCCGAGGTCGCCCTGCTGAGAAGGAAAGAAAGGGACGCAGCGGTGGACACTGGATCAGAGGAGCCCCCACGCCACTGCCTGCTCCCCTGGGCCACACACACCATGGGAACACAACGGCGGAGAAGGAGACGCAGCGCTCCTGCCAACAAAGCACAAGTCAAAAGGTGGGAGCGCAGCAGCGAGCCCAGATTGCGTGAGGCCGAGCCTGGGGGTTAGGAGGGGAAAGCACAGCAAAGCTTTAGACTGGGAGTCCCGACAGGGAGAGGCAGCATGTCCAGCGCGGATGTGGGGGAGAGCACAAACATCCTCCACGGGAAAGCAGCAGAACGAGGCAATGGCGGCTGTGGAAGGAGGAAGGAAAGGAAATTCCCAGTCGCGGGCACGGGGTGGGGAGGGCTGGCAGCCGCGAGAGCAGGAGAGGGCTTGACAGGATGTCACGGGAGAGGGGATGAACAAAATTACCACCTACCGAAAAGGTCAGAGAGCATGAGAACGTAGTGCTGATCGGATGGGGGTTTCGTTTATGCACACAGATCTGAGCAACTTCCGTGAAGCTGGAAGAGTAGAATAAATAGATTTTAAAATCAGATTGTTATAACCCCCTATGTCTGACCTGCGTAACGGGGACCACGGTTTCACTGCCGGCAACTCCAGCAATCCAGTAACTTCTGTTTCAGCTAAACCATACACCGCCATCTATCCACAAAGGAATACTTAAGGCCACAGCAGCCCCTCTTTATTGTTTGCTAATTACTTACTCTTCATTAGTTACCCCAGCAGTTGCGATAGGAAGAAGATCGCTGTGGTCATTTACTGTAGGGCAGTGCAGTGAATGGAGATGTCGATAAGGAGCTGGGAAGGGGTGAGGGAAAGAAGGGGGGTGTAGAGAGCAGCGCCCGCGGTTTGGCTGACTTTGAGACATGAGCTTTCAAAGGACAGAAAAACAGAGCGGAAGAGTTTCATGGAGAGCACAGCAGACCCAGCCAGAGCTTGGGTCTCAAGAGGAAGGTGGTGACACAGGTACTTCGTATTGTTGTCCTAGTGGTTGACAGTGTTCCTGCACTCAAACAGCTCCAGCTGATGTCATCAAATCCTTTTAGGTCTCCTGGAGTCTTTAGGAAAGGAAGATGGGAAAAACACGCCCAGTAACACCTCGCACAACATGGAAATGATCACGAGGGAAAAACAAACCTGAAAACCAACCAACTTCCCACAAGCCCCTCTTCAGTCTCAGATGGTGGCTATGGAAACCTCCTGCCACACTAGCAGCGAGCACAACGCCGGCC